GCATGATGGCCTTCTGTTGCATACCTTAAACGGTTGGCTAACGTATCATACGAATAGAAACACGATCTCAACGATTCAATCCCCAGCATTGACCATGACTCACAATCAGGTCGTTTTGGAAAAAATACTTTCACTTACCTACATCGAGTCTGATCTAGATTTTGCCAGCGGATCACATGAAAGTTGATCCGATTCTACGAATGAAAACGGTAAAAAAACTCACCTCGTTGTGCTCCGCATCTCTGAAAGATTTCCTGATGTAGTCTTTGTAAGCGATACAAATTGTTCGAAGACCGAGTTCAGCCATATTCGTGATAATAGCGCTGGTGATTTGTTGCCTTCGTTCATGATCAAATTGATTTACGCTCAGATCCGAGCCAATGAAGTGGCTACAACGTGCAAGGACAAGTTCGGCAGCACCTTTCTGATAGACTCGATACCCGACTTCAGTGCCATTCTCCGAATACAGTTTTATCACGGTCATCATTGATTTACGCGTTGAATTGAACGTATACACCTTAACATTCATTGATCAGGATCAGCATTTTCGAAGCACATTGCATTATCTGGCCATTCAGTACGACATTCCCTGTTCATAGCACATCACTGCGCTCAGAGTAGTTCTTACTTTATGAAGGCTTTCTTCTGGAAACTTGCGACGAATTTCTGCGTAATCTCCACCAATATTCTGCACAAACCCGAGCAAACCACATTCGGTTTTGTTGCCTAGTTGTTGTATCTGAAATGGGATGTATTACAGTCTAGTCGTATTCAGTACGAAAGGACCACGATTACGGTGCTTGCTTTCAGGATCACCATTTCGAAGCATACAGCAGGAAGAATTTCAGATAAATTTTGTAGCATCCGATTTTTCTCTTCATCATTTGAAAACAAAACGAAATGATGCTGAAAGGAATTGGATGAAATACTGAAAATTATTACATTCGATCAAGTAAACGAACTGAAATTGAATTTCAATCACTCCGGATAAACTGCAGAGTCATTTAATCACTTAAACTAGAGACCTGCTGGTTGGGCTTTGTTGGTTCCACAATCATCGTGTTATAGGCACTGTTGACCGAAATCGCTTCTGTTAGTAGATCAACCGTTTTTGCTGGCAATTGGCCTTTAGTAGGCTGAGCGTTTTGACTTGAGTAATAGTAACCTGCAAACGTAGTCTGTTACTTGCGGTGATTTCAATAATAACAAACGTTTTGGTTCTCGCGAT